CATCAATGGGAGAGAGAGCTATTAATATGAAATCACAATTAAATTTATTAAATTATTAACTGATTTAACTATAATCTACATTACATACTTTATATAAAATTAATAAAAAATTAATATTTAATAATAGTTAAATATATAACCAGCTCTCTCTCCTGTTGGGGAGGCCGGGAGGCAAAGTTGGTTTTTAAGACAGTGCCCATAAATAGCTCTCTCTCTCTCTCTCTCTCTCTCCCTATTTTACGGTCCTGGATGGGAGAGGGAGAGAGTTATTTATATGTAATTACAATTATAATTATTAAATTATTAATTAATTTAACTATAGTATAATTAAATATTTTTTATAAAATTAAAATGTATGCAGACCAAATGGTCCCAAATACAACACATAACAATAAATAAATAAAATTTAATACCATTTATAGTTATAAATTTATTATTTTTACACACCTGCCACACTCTCTCACTCCCACATACAGTATTAACTAGTTACTTTTGATGGCAATAAACTGTAGTATTAATGAAAAATTTACGTTTATTCACTACACATTTTACATTTAATTTATTATTGGCTGTACGCATTAGTAGGTAATAATTATTTTATGTTAATTGTATTAAAATAGTTAAATAACAATATAATTAGTGTATAAAGCTGTTATGAATAATTTTTCATATTTTTATAATAGTCTAAATTTGATATTGATTATTTTACGGAACGACTACAAATTCATTTATTAACTTGAGTTTGCTATAAACCTACATTAAATTTAAATTTAAATACTTTTATGATACTATTGCTATGCTTTGAACACACTAAATTATCTAGTATAATTAATATTGTTCAATTTTATTGATTCTATTGAAAAACTACATCGTTTTTAAAAATATTACAAAAACTCTCATTTAATGTCTATTTTGCAAAGTTATGGCAAATTTGCGGATATCTTGAGTCGTGAGCTCCGGTTCCTCGAAGGCTCCGAAGTGTCCGCCTCTCGACATCTCTGTGTACTGAACCAAATCGAGACACTCGTCCCGAACCCATGACTCAGGCGTGCGGACCAACTCGTTGGGAAAGTCGGCCACCGCTGCCGGCACTGTAATCGGCAGTCTTTAGGGCACGGGTAGCATAAAAATATTGTAAAGTTTATTAATTCATTAATTATTTAATACTATTTATATTTGTAAATAATATGTGTTATATTAATAAATATTACTCATTTATATTGTGATTGACGTATAATACCATTGGGTTATTAGATATTGAGAGAGAGAGAGAGAGAGAGAGAGAGAGAGAGCTATTTATATGTAATTACAATTAAAATTTGTAAATTATAAATTGATTTAACTATAACATAGTTAAATAAGTTTGTAAAGAATTAATAAAAATTTAAGAATTTATAACAATATAATATATAATGAGCTCTCTCAATTTCTAGTGTCCACCTGCCTAATGGCTTAGCGGCATATAAGTCAATCCTTTTATATTCATATAAATATTAAATAATTATCATGACAAAAACTGTAATTTATGTGTTATTATTACAACTAATATCTTGTAAAATTTTAATTTTAAAACATTTGAATAGTTACTAAAGTTATTACAGGGTAACCGGTAATTAGTAATACCTTTTTGATTTTAATTTATTTTAATACCTGGTAGTTTATTTTTGTAAAATATACACTAAAATAATATTAAATAGGGTTTTACATGATATGAGCTTTGAACAATCATAGTAACGTTAGCAATTTTTATGATTTTAATACTTTAAAATTCAGTAATATTTTAACCTTATGAATTGTAACTCGTTTACCTTAAGCCTATGAATATTTTATGAATAATTGACGTTTGAATAAAATTACTAATTAGATATAATAAATATAAAAATAGCTAACGTTACTATGATTGTTCAAAGCTCATATATAACATGTCCATGTTATTCTTAAACAGAAATTTATACAAAGAATTTAATCAAAAGGTTATCAAAAATTGTTCTTGTATGCAATTCATAGTTATTTTGGCATAAGTTGAAACTGTCAATAAAAGTATAACATTTATAGCTATTGGTATTAGTATAACAATTTTAAAATAATGGGATGCGTACTATTCACCAAGTTTACTATTTTTTATAAAATATATTTATAAGAAATAATTATATAATTTACTATATTTAAGTGCTATGGTTAACATAAAAAATAAACTACTAATTGATTAAGGCACTGTTAATGTAATAAGATTTTGACTGATTAACTTGGTTAGAATAATAAAACTGTAACTTTTAATAAATATTATATAAACAAAATTATTATGGTAATTGCTAATAAATAGATTAATGGACAACAATTAGTGGTTACGAAAATCTAATATTAAAATACTAAATAATGTAAACTTTTTATAACATACCTGAGATTATAATCAATATAAATAAAAGGAATTAAATATGACATAAATGTACAATATACTACCATGTCTATTTGAAATTTATATTGAACATACCTGAGCCCTGTATTGAGGGACTCCTTATAGTAGCGCAGGGATGCCGTGACGTTACGGGAGGTCCAGTAAATCATAATTTGAGTCAACAACTCATCCAAAGTGAACTTCTCGGTCAGTCCGCCATCTTGTTTGTCCACATAATCCGGGTTAGTCCACGTCGAGTACTTTTCTAGTATATAGGCTGCCAGTCCTACGGGTGAGTTAAGTAGGGCTGTACCCACTGTGTCGGGTTTGGTGGCCTGGATGTGCATGTATCCCGATTCCCTCATAAGAAACGCAAATTTAGGCCAAAATGGGTACACTTTCGGGGCGTCATTAGTCGGGTTGTCAAATACGAGTGACGGGAATACAGTGCCCACAATGAACTTGAGTAGTGGTTTACCCCGGAGTGATATGGGACTGGAGCCCAGGGTTGTGTGGATTCCGATTACACTGAAAATATAAAATAATTACTTTTGTTTCATTAGTAATGAAATAGGTTAATTAAGTTAATATTGTAACTGTAATATTAAAACAAAATTTTATATGAATTAAGCAAATTATTAGTAAATAATTAGTATTGGATTCTAATAAATGCCTACTTGAAATATAATTATTATTGTCTATTAGTACATATAAATGTTTTAACTTTTCTAATTGTAGCTAGCTTAGCTAAAATTATTAAAATTATGTTTTACTATACAGTAAATTGAATGCATTGTTTACTATTTAACTAAAATAATTGAATAGATTTTAAAATATAATTTCTTATTTTAAGACTCGTATTTAAAACTGTAAATATAAAACCCAGTAATTTATAAATTAGCAAAATATCTTAAAATTTTATTACTGGGCAATGCTAAGACATAGGTATCATTTTCATACTTTTCAGGGTATAGCCGGGCAATAGTCTTGGTTATCATAGACCCCCAGTCCCCTCCGTGTACCAAAAACTTCTTGTGTCCCAAACGGTTCATCAGTTTGACAAACACTCGGGCCGTCTCTTTCAGACCAAACCCTAGGTTTGAAAAAACACATAAAATTATAAACACATTAAAACCCATTTAATAGGCATTCCCATACCTTGCCGGTGCGGTGCCTCAGAGAACCCGTATCCGGGAATGGAGGGACAGACCACTTCGAAAGCAATGTCCTGATTGGGTTGAGTCAGTAGTGGTATAGACTTGTAGTACTCCCACACAGAGCCCGGCCATCCATGGATTACCTAATATCGATGGACAGGTAGTTTTTTCAATAAATTAATACAAATTTAATGGATACTTACCAGAAGTGGGACCACCTTTTTGGCCGGTAGGTTGGGCTTCACATGCAGGAAATGGATACCTAACCCCTGGATTTGGGTTTTAAATTGTGGCAAAGAGTTTAGCAGTTTTTCCTGTCGGCGCCAATCAAAGTCCCGGCGCCAGTAGTCAATGACTTTACGCAAGTAGTGGCCGTTGAAACCATAGTTGAATTTCGAGTCAAATAGGGGTTCGGGTATTTGATCCCTTTCCAGACGTTCTCGTAAGTCGTCCAACACCTGGTCCTCTACATTGACTTCATAGGGAACTACATCTGTGGACTCGACCGGTAAGGGCTGGCCATCTGTATAGGAAAAAATGTTGAAAATGTTTAGATTTTTAAAAATTCAATGGAAATAAACTGTATTAATGATTATGTAAACATGATTAATTTATTATAATCCATTTGATAATTTACGGCCACGATATTAGCAACAATGTACTTTATATCTTTTTAAATCATAGAAATTTACTATCATACTTGATTAATTTTATTATAAACATGTTCACTTAATTTGGAAATTTATTTTGTATCATACCAATTTAGCTCATAATTTGAAAATAATATTGAGTTAGATGCATAAATAGTAAGATATTTTTTATGTTAATTATTATATTATGTACTCATATTTTAAACTGTAATTTTAAACTTAGAGCTCATTATTTATTAATTGTTGAAAAAGAAATTAAAAATTTGGTTTTGACGCGTTATTCCTTTAAATTTTACATACCTTTCCACTCCTGTCTACCAAACCACTGATCCTTAAGTTCCGGTCTCTTAGGCGGCGATTGTCTGAATAGCGGCCAACCGATGGCCAAAACCGCCGCCAAAATGACTCCGAATACCAGCGACTGAACGGTTCCGACGATCCACTGGACGAACGATAACCGGAAGCTATTTATGAGACAATTATAAGTATTTAATAAATATTTATAATTAGATTTAATTTGTTTTTTGTATAACAAAATTTTTTTATTATGTTATTATTACAAACTGTATTAAGAAATAAATATAATTTATGTTTAATAAATGTGATTATTAAATTTGCTAATTGGACCCCGCGTATGAGATGTTTTAATATTTCAAAATTATTTTATCACTACTAAATCATTTTAATACAATTAATATTTCAGTAAATATTTCATTGTAAAACTTAATTTAAAATAACTTAAGTTATAATTGAACATTTTGCTAAATCATTATGATTTGGTAATATTTAATTAATTTTATTAATAATTATTATTTATAAATATGATCATGATCACTTACGGGAAAAAGCTGGGCAAGTATGCGGACAATAGGGCCACAAGTACAGCACTCACAATAAATCGGTGGACGAGGGACGACATGATTAGCACCGGTAGGCAGACTGCACTCAAAATACGTAAACAGCACTTTAAACACAACTATTTATAAGTTAGACGTAAAGTCCTTGAGTGACACAAACTGTACATTAAATTGCACTCAAAATGTTATAAAAGTACTTAATTTTAAAATGCACTCATGCTTTAGCGGATTACTTACTTAATGCCCTGATAATTTGTAAAATTTTACTTTGTTTAATAATGATTACATAAAACTGTATTTAAATCAAAATATAATTGTAATCCTAAACTGTAAACTAATTATGCAAACTGTAATTAACAAAGACAGACATGTTTTTAAAAATTTATTATTGTATTATTTATATTAATTTTTTATAAAATTATTTTTAGACACTGTTTATTTTATTGATGAAATCATCAACTTGTTTACCATTTTAAATGTCTATCTATTATCAAGGTTCGTTTTGTGAACTATGATGTTTATCTATGAAATAATAAATAAGTGCAAAATAAATATACCCTATTATACTTACAATTAATAAAATTTTAGATAAGTTATTGTAGCAAAATTATTTTATTACTTTTTTACTGATTTTGTTGCATTTACTACGTAAATCACCAAGGTTCTTATATAAATTTATTTTAACACATAATTAAATAGGGACTACTAAAACAATTATTTAACTTAAATTAAAATTCAATCATTATTTTAAAAATATTTACATTAAAAATAAATATCTAGTTAATTAAAAACTTACTGGTTTAATAAATCAAAATTTGCTACCTTTGTACCTTGCTGTTAATTTCAATGATTACATGAAATAATTATCTATTATGTTATCTGTTTGCATTAAAAACACTACTTTTTATGTCATATTTCTTTTGTAATTGAATTTCTTACAAAAAACAATAAAATAAATACTTTTTATATTGTGTTAAATAAAAATAAATATGGATTTAAAATACAATTTAACCGTGCTAATTCTAACAGCCTTAATTAATTGTATACGTCCTGGCTACATTAATAACAATATCACCAATCAGGATCAATTAACTACCACTATTCCTAAATTACCATCACCAACAAACTCGTTTAGATTAATATGCACTATTGTCATTATTATCGGGGTCATTATAACTATATTACTATTTTTAAAATTCAATCATTATTTTAAAAATATTTACATTAAAAATAAATATCTAGTTAATTAAAAACTTACTGGTTTAATAAATCAAAATTTGCTACCTTTGTACCTTGCTGTTAATTTCAATGATTACA